AGGTTCGTCCAGTTTTCAGCAAAAACAAGCGGAATTCTTCAAAAGGTGTTCTGCATAAATTGTGGGCTTTCCATGCTAAATGCATGGGAGGTGCATTTTTTCTCCATCATTGCAATATCATGATTTCACCACCCCACTGCGTGGCGTTGTGCTCACATGGAAAATGTAAGATTTTAAAGCTGTGAAAAAGGCGAATGTAGTGAGCTGGAACCAAATCCAGGCCTCGTCGGTCGGCGCCGCAACGGCACAAGACTAGCATATTTTGATGGAGCAGGATCTGACGGTTGTGTGGGCGAAAGTGTGGGTCAAGGTTGGCGGAAGATCACACGATCTCGTGCGCGAACCATGGATCGCCTACTCTGGGTCGTTTTTGATGACCTGTCGTACCTCAGCGCCCAGAACAGATGAAGGCAAAACCCAACCACACTGTGTAATCGAATGTGTATCCGCTACGACTCGCTAAAGGACCTTAAAACTTCCGACCCAAAGGTGCGTCCGTGATTACGAGGGCAGGGGCCAGTGTTGCCATTTCCGAAATCGACCTTAGGTGCAAGTCACTGTGGTCTGCATGGAGCTAGATTGGGCCCTGAAAACTACTGAGGCTTAACTGAGGTTTAGCTCTGCTGTGACCAGCATCATCTTGAAACATTTACGTGCTTCGCAATACTCTGGTCATGATTTTCAAGGCTGTAAATCGTTAACGCGTCGACTGCACCTGTTCATAATACGAAGCCTGAGCGGGTCCACAGCCGGGCATTTTCAAGTAATGCTATTTTTAAACCAGCACGCGAAAGCTACATCGGTGGACCCTGTTAAATTCTCATAATACACCCCATAAAACAGATTGACCAAAGGTGTTTGCATCTGTGACCAAATGCATTGGGCCTTATTAACATATTTTTGTTTATCATACGCACGATTACAAATAACAATATCCATATGTAATATCGCCTGACTCGCCTTACGCCTCACAAGGCTTCTCACTGCTCCTCTATGCTATATTTGCGAGTAGTGCGTGTGAAAAAGGCAGAGGTGACTCATAAGGCTGTATGTATCTGATCTCTACTTACAAGCGTTCCCTCTCCTTCATGCTAGTCTTCTTTGCAAATGTAGCAAACCCTCAGCGTTGCAGCCAATGCCACTAGATAGACCGAAAAATATGAGCCGCCCGAGGTGCGACCATGCGATGTATGTTTATGCATCAAGTGACTTTGATTTGTATTGGTCTTCCTACTGTTTTTAATGAGGGCTCATGAAGTTTACGTAGTTGGTGCGTTGAGAATGATTTCACACGGCATGTTTGCATGCTTAACCACAGCATACTAGGAATGGTGATATTGCGGTCGTCATGCTATTCTGGATGGATCGCACCAGTAAGAACTGGGCGGTACCACGAATGGGGCCGGTGGGGAGCTGGAATGGGGGAGTGAGTCAGACTTTCCACTACTGTTGGTGGTATGTCCAGCGTGACCGAGGAAACCTTTGTTACTGCGACGCGATGAGCTTTTGCCAGAGCCTCTGTTTCGGGGCGCCGTCCATGACATCCCCTGCCGTGCTATAGTCAGGCCGTGCCACAGTCGGGCTGCGCTACAGTCACTCTGCTACAGTCGCGCCGTGCTACAGTCAGTCACGCCTTGCCACAGTTATGCCGTACTACAGTCCCTCCTTGCTACAGTTACGCCATGCTGCAGTTACGACGTGCTGCAGTCACGACGTGCTATAGTCACGGCGTGCTAGTCACTCCGTACTACAGTTAAGCCGTGATGCAGGCATGTGGTGACACAGCTATGCAGTACCACGGCCAGGGCGTGCCACAGGAAGGTCGTGCCATAGCCAGGTCGCACGATAGCCAGGCCGTGCCACAACAAGGCCGTGCCATGGCCAGGTCCTACGACAGCCGGACCGTGCCGCAGGCACGCCGTGCTGCAATCCCGCCTTGCTACAGTCCCGCCGTGCCACAGTCACGCCGCGCTACGGGCACGCCGTGCTACAGTCACGCCGCGCTACGGGCACGCCGTGCTACAGTCACGCCGCGCTACGGGCACGCCGTGCTACAGTCACGCCGCGCTACGGGCACGCCGTGCTACAGTCTCTACTGGTAGGGCTATTGTTATAAACAGAAATACCACCGCCAGCTGCATGATTTTAACATGACACTCCGTAATTATTGTTCTAAGTACTGTTTCCGTATTTCAAAAATGCATCTGCAATGCAACATTATTTTGAAATGTTAATTGCTATGGTGACTTCGTTTTCTGGGTTATATGTAATGCTTAGTGAGTTGAAGAAAAATGGTCAACATTTTCATAAATAAAGCCGGCTTTTGGTGACATTATCGCAATATGTTACGCTGGCTGTAGAGGAAAGTAGAAATGGTAGCTGTTCACGAGCTCGATCGCACGAACGCTGACCTAATGACCTCGAGGCCAGACCGTTCGCCCGTGTCGTGCGTCCCGATCCCTGCCGCCGGGACGCCGGCTGGGCTGTACCCGGGGCGCCCCGGGCCCGGCTGTGGGGGTGACACCGTCCGATAGCTGGTATTTCCGGCCGGCCGGATACCATGCCGGCCCTCGCGCCGCGCGGGCATTCCCGCACGCCCGCCGGGCACGTTCATAGCGTCGCAGACGCACATAAACAGTGCACGCTGGCGCGCGTGCCTTGTGCAAGCACACGCACATTGCACCTACCCGTATGGATATGCACGTGTTTACCAGCACACGCATACTCAAGCTCTCATATGCGCTCCCTTAAGCCCACGCACACACACACACACACACACACACACACACACACACACACACACACACACACACACACACACACACACACACACACACACACACACACACACACACACACACACACACACACACACACACACACACAAGCACACGCACACGCACACGCACACGCACACGCACACGCACACGCGCACGCACACGCGCACGCACACGCGCACGCACGCACGCACGCACGCACGCACGCACGCACGCACGCACGCACGCACACGTGCGTCACAAGTTATGTTGATTGTTCCCAAGCTCTCGTATGCAAACCCTTAAGCTCACATATACACATGCTTCATGCATTGTATCGACTGCTTCTCAACCGTTGTCCATCCCTGGCATTTTTTCGTGTTGACACACATCCCCGTAATACCTATGCACCATAGTGGAAAGATGGGCTGAGGACTACTGCTGAACAGCACCGATAACTGTCCTTAAGGGTTTTGGGGGCTCGAGTCACCGCGTCGCAGTTTCACGCCATGAATACTGCGCTGCGATACTGGAACGGCAGTGGAGCACCGGCTTTCGATGCGGTCCATATCGAAGCACAACATGCGCAGAAATATCGCTGCGGGCGACCGGCCGGCAAAACAAGAAAGAAATAATAGCAATGAGAGGCGGATGATGCGCCTTGTAATGCATGTCTAAACGATAACCTTCTGACGTGCGAAATTCTTGGACAGCATCGCTGCCTCCCGTTTTATGACGAAGGGTTTCGGTTGGGCTGTTTTGCTGTGCATTCCCAGCTCTGTGTTGTTATTGGTCACGTCAGTAGTAACTCAGCCGCGCGGGCGGGTAGTTTCGACACCACCGGGCACTATGGCTGTATCACCTCTCTGGGTGTGGGGGGTTACGTTACAACACTGCACGTTTCAGCGTCGGTCCCGCCGACAGGTGGCGCCTCTGGGGAGGTCGTCAGATCCGACCGCCCCCCCCACCAGAAGATCAACGCTTCCGCGTAGCCTCGATTCGTCAGCGTCTCTGGCGGCGACTGTTTAGTGAGCGCCGATTGAAGATTTGCTTTTGCTGCGTGCGGCGCCGTTGGTGCGTCCACGCGCACAGGTGTATGATTACAGTCCGCATGTGGGTCACGTCCGGCTGTTTAAACAGCTCGCCGCCTTAGCCGGGGAGCAGACTGCCAAGAAACTGCGGGAGGTCTGATTGAGCGGGATAGGAAGTGCGCCTCGTTTTGCTTTTGACATGACTCGGCGATAGAAATCTGACTAACCACTCTTTCTCATTTCATGGGACCTATTCAGAAATATGTTCCTTTTTCTTACCTGGTGGGATATGTTCAGTTTTTCGGGCATGTCCGGGGGCGGAAGCTTACACATTTATGCTTCAAGTTTGCTGTATAGTCTTGATGACAAGGACATTATCAAGAGACAAGATCGACATTGACAGGGACAAGGTTTGCATTTCGAGAACAAATTTGATTTGAGGTGGAAAAAGTCGCCCAGCGTCCGTACCACGAACAAGAGTTCATGAACGTCAAATTCCACCATCATCAGATGTCGATCATATTGATGTTCATGGAAGAAAGAACCGCAACTTTAAACGACATCACAATGCTGATGGACACACTGGAACTCCAGTTATTGTATATACGCACAACGTTGTCAAGTAAGAAGATGGCACACAAAACCTTGGTGTACCACCATGCCATTGCTGAAAAGCCAACATATACTGGATGGCACTGAGCTGAGGTGAAGTTTTTCTAGATAGGTCGGATTCCCGTTGTGTGTCTGGTTTCGCTTCTTGTGCGGCTGGTTCGAATTGGCCGGACCTATGATCCGTTGCAACAGCTGCATCACTGAACCTGACGCCTGGGCTGCCGCCGCGCTGCATTTCCTGGAAGTTGTTGTCGCCGCCTGCCACGTTCCCGGAGTGTAATCGGTGTGAATGCTTCGGCCTGTCGCCTGCTGGAACACGGCTGTTTGGAGCGCAATGTAAATGTTGCACGAGTTGTGTGCTACATGTGTGCGCATTTTAGACTTAGTGTGCTCCATCTGCTGGCTAGTTAGCCCTAGTACTGCTTAGTCGTCAGCTTTTGAACAATGATTTCCATCAACCAATTCGGCGTATAAAATAAGTGAGTTCTCTCATGGCCTAAACTCTTTCATAACCCAAAAATGCCGATGCGTTCGGGCGGCATATTGCCAGGTCAGTGCGGCCGCGCCTCGGGCCCCAGCTCACCCCGGGCTTTCGTTTCAGAGTGCAGGATGTGGACAACGGCTTCTTCGAGAACTTTGCGCAGCTGCCGCGCCGCCAGGAGCTACTGCAGCAGACGTCGCTCGATCAGGCCGAGGAGTCACTCCGGGACCTGGTGGTGCCGCTCTCCTTCACAGACGGGGCCGTACACCTCCGCCAGGACGAGGCCATCACCCCAGAGCAGGTGAGAGAAACTCGGGTCACGAGTCATCCACCTCAGCTCAGACGAGGCCATCACCCTCAATCAGGTGAGGGCAATACGAGTCACGAGTCAATTACTTCTGGCACGAGGAGACCATCACTGCTGAGCAGGTGAGAAGGTCGGGTCACGAATCGTCCACCTTCGCCGGGACGGCATATCACTACAGAGCAAGTGGGAGTGGTTGAGTCACAGGTCTTCCAGTTCTAACGTGGTGACAGCATCACATCTGAGCAGGCGGGGAGGAGTTCGAGTCCGGGTCTCCCATGCCGGGCGGTTCAAACACGTCACCCCGCGGGCGAGTGCGTGTCGCCGAGTCGTGTGGTCATGTGAGGTGACGTTTGCAAGTGGAACTGATATCATTAAGCGTTCGGGGTGCATCTGCGGCTTTGTAGGCATGCAGTGAGCTGAACTGGGCGAAACAAACGCTCTCAGTTACATTGATACCCATGTTTTCCTGAACTTCCCGATACTGGGCAAAGGGGCTTTTGGTCCGCTTGTTGAGACACACGTATTCAGCTTGGCTCCGCTGGACTGGAAGTGCATTTTTCGACACGTTTCTTAGGCTCAATTTTTTAATATCGAAACAAACACTGAGGAATCTTTGTCATTAATCTGGTTCCTTTTTGCTTTTCGTTTTCCGTTTCTAATCATGAGTTCCTTTGCATTTCACGTCGATGGTTTTCCATCCTTACAACTAACTATATCACTGAGGAAGTAGTCACTGGTCGGGTTCTAGTGTGACCCCGCCGGAGCCGGGTCAGCTCGGTCGCGATGGCGGTCTCGCCGGATACGGAACGGGGCTGCGCCAGCTCGCCGGCGCTCGGTGCGCCGCCTGGCGGCAGTGGCACGCGACGGCGCGTCTCCTCGTCGCCGCGCCGGCCGCCGACAGCGCCGCCTCGCGGCTTCTGGAACGCGCTTACCGTGCACATGAGCCTGAAGCGGTCGCCGCCACCGCCAGCCCGACCTCAGCTGCGCCGCAAAAGCGTGGCCGTCGAAAGCACGGCGGTCGCCGAGCCAGAGCCGGCCAACGACGAGCCGCCGCCGCCTCCCTTCGACGACGAGGTTGGTGCCGACGCGGCGCCGGCCGGACAGTCGCTTCCAGCCGGGTGCGAAGACCGCAGCCGCTGCGTTGGAGTCACTGGACCGTCTTTGTTCGGGTTAGGTTATCCATTCATTAAGTAGGCCCTGTGAAAGACGAGGCTTATTCCAGTCGCTACCCGCTTTGCTGTTAGAGTGTATTACGACGCAGTTGGGTACCTTTGCTGGCTTGGGTGCTACTTGGTCATGCCTTAGCTTTGCGTGTCTTGTTATTACTTCAGAAGATAAAACGAACGGTGCAACGCATGTAACACCACATGGTTTAGGAAAGCATCTGCTTGTTCGATACCACATTTGTTGTAATAGTGCGGCTTCGTACTTGAGTAGATGCTCTTTCAACCTCTTATTCTGCAATACCTTATGTCATAACGAAGTTTAAAAAGCGTCGGTACCGTGGTTAAGCGCCGTTTCCGCCCCAGTGCAGTACCTGCTAACTTTCTGCGTGTTAATGTTAAGGTCGTTCCGCTCGGGCGTTCGACATTATACCAGAGCACGACTCACCGTCCCCTTCGACGCGGCTTCGACTCGCCCCCAGCTCGGCGTCGAGACGCTGTCGCAGCATGACGTGACATAAATCCGGCGATGACTGCGCCCCGGGACCAAGGCGATGTCTGAAGTAGGCCCGGGCTGGGTCAGGCTGACACGACTGCGTGTGGCCGACAGGCACAGGGCCTGGGGGTCGGGAGGTGCAGCCCGATGCACTCGGTCGGTCGTCGCCGTTTCGTGGCTGACTTCTCCATGCTGGAAGGTGGGCTTTCATATCTCCGCGGCGACGTGCTTCCATGCCTCCGTCAACTCACTGGACCTTTGGCGGATGCTTGCCTTCGGGGTGATACTTTCCTTTGCTACGTGGCTGAAACACGCGCTGGGTCCTTGCCGGCTTGTTAGCGCTTTTTGAATGCAAAGGTCTGGTTCTATGTGTTCATCTTTCGGCTGGAAATGCCTTTCATGGCGGTTGTGACTGAGGAACTGCCTCCACCGATCATGCGCCCTCTCGCCGCGGTTTGTTCAGCCCACTCCTGGGAGCTTCTAGCGACGTGGGCCGGGCAGAGTAGAAGCAGTTTGCTTTCAGATTGCGGCCATTGCGTTTGCGGCCCAACTCTGGGACATTTCTTCCCGTGCCTGTAACAAAATGTTGTAATGGACCGTCCCATTGCTGTAGCCGTGCAGCTCTGGTGGGATTCGTCAGCGATCACTGCGCAATCGGCACCAGTCAGATTTGATGACGGTATTGATATATGCCCGATTTGATGACCCCTATTTTATGGCCTGATTGGGTGTTCTGGATGATCTTACAGTTAAGAGTGACTAATTTACGCCTTTAGCACAACTGCGTAAATTCTAGGCGATTCTTCTGGCACCCATGTCTTTTGGCAGAGTTTTGAATCTTACGTCGCAAAGTGTCGCGTGAAGCGGTGCTTTTAACGCAGTCCTTTCGGGACCGTGTTACACTTGTGATGCGATGATATGGTTATGCGATTCGCTGTTTGGAACTCGAACCCAGCACCAAACGACAGTGAGTACTCGATATTGCCTCACCGTGGATGTTCGAGTCGCTGCTGACTGCCGCCAGCCCTGTTACTGGGATTTTGTGCTCGGTTCAGTCGGCACACTTTTGTATTTCAACGTTGGAATGATTATTTCTCCACTCCAGTGTGCGTACCATCCAATTATCCAACATATTTTTGGTTCTGCTATAGCTCCTGTGACGGGTCTACACGTGCTCTAGCTTCGTTCCAGTGCACGGCTGGCATTTCACTCACCATCGCCACTGTTTGGGCGACATTGGCTTTGGTTTCTGAACTTGACAATACCAAACACACCGAAGCCATTCCTAGCCATTTTGGTGCATTTCTAAAGTTCTTTTAGACGCGCAGTTTTGTTTCATTCTCCCGGACGGAAAGACCATCCATGTGAGGATGTCGAAACGGAAGCCCCGACATGAGGTTGGATGGAGTAACTGTTTTAAGTCTTGACTGGAATCTGAAAAGATGCGTGATTATATTCCGGGTGGTTCTTTCCAGAGACAAAAGTTGCATCCTGATCTTTCTGTTTGACGTAAAAGGTTCAAAGGAACCTTGTGGACCTAAGTGACATTAGTGGTAACATCCACGAGCATACCCACTGCTGTTCTCCGACAACACCCCTTCGCCTTCGCCGACGATAGAAGACAAAAGATGTGTGTAACAACAAAAGCGCTGGCGTAACGCTTCGTCCAATCCCAGCCGCTCTCGGCCGTCAGAATCTTCGCTTTCGCGTCAGTGGACGAGCGTGTGAAGCCCGCAGGCGTCCATGTCCGGCTGTCATCGACAGTGACGCCGCCGATCACCACCCCGGAGACGCCACTCCCACTGAACGTCCTGCCGGCGCGATCTAGTGACTCAGGGCGGGGGGCACCCGCAGGCGGTACGGCGCGGAGGTGGGCCCTCTCTCTCTCTGACTCAGCTGCCGCCGATGAGCTCATCTGGGCCCGTCGGGTGTCGGCCCGGCGTGACCCAGCGGCCGTCGGACGGTCCTCCGGCCGCTGCTGGGCTACCCCGGTCATCCCCGAACGGGTTCGAGCGATGAGCCGGTCCGCGGCTGTCGCGTGACTCAGGGCGCGCGCGGTGATACGGACCGTCATGTAGCATTGTCTTGGATGGAGTGTGGTCCGACCCGACACAAGCCAGAGAAGCACGGCCTAACCTTGAGTGTTCGCGTTTGGCTGTCTGGTATGAGTACCACGAAACAACCAGACGTGAACGTATATCATATCTTACGTCTCTCCAATGATATATTTCCATCATATCTGTGGTGACCATGTGGCCTCGCTAGAAGCGGTGGTGCAGAAATGGCTGTGGGCTACCAGGGTTTGCACGGGCTGGTTAGCTCACGTCCGATATACGGAAGACTGGCAGAGGCCGCTCAAGACTTGTGGTTAAATCTGGCTGGAGTCCTTATCTACTCTGGAAATGATCGAATGGAAAAGTCAAGAGTGTCAGCTCAGCAAAACATGTATGAATCGTAGTGATTCAGATAACGGAGGCCTAGATGCGTTGTTGATAATGCAGCACACAAGCCATCTTTACCCGCAGAAATATCCAGACAGGGTGTGCAGCGGATAGACTGCATTATTAGGTTTCGTAAGTTGCTTGCAATGTATTCAGAGTAGACTCCGTCGAAGTCCTCAGCTTTGGCTGAGATCCTGAGTTGGCACCACGGCTGACCTCAAGTAGCACGGAACGGTGCTGAGGCGAAGCTAAATCCTGCTCCGTGCTCGATGGGCCGTTGTGGGCGCTGCAGCCCACGCCCTTCCTCGCAACACGAGACCACCCGCCCACGGTCCGCATCACGGGACCCACCGCCGACCGCAGACTGCCAGCCGGCCGGGACTTCCCGTCCGGCGTCCAGCGGCGGGCGGGTGGCCGTCGCCACCGCCGCCGGCCCGGGTCGGCCCGGCCGGCCTCGGTCCAGCCGGCCTCGGAACCAACAGTGCACGGCTGGCGCCGCTGCCGGTGAGTGCTGCGCCGCCGAGCTCGCGCCGAGACGGACCGCTTGTGCGCAGACGGCGGGTGGGGCGGCGGAGGACGGTGGCGGCGGGCGGCCGACCATCACGGAGGGGGTGACGGGGGTATTGGCCGAAGACGCACTTCACTCGGAAACGCCCGGCTGCCGTGAGTAGCTGGTGGGCCCGCGACCGCGGCCTGTCAAGCACGCGCCTAGAACAGGCTGAAGCGCAGCGATGAGTGTGCCTACTGTGGCCGTCGAGGCAGTAGAGGCTCAGGAGGTTCAGGACCACGCCTCCACGCGGACCCGGTCCACCTGGCACCGGGCGTCTTTGAGATTGAGGCGGGGTCTGGCCGAGACGTCCGACTTGGTCGGCCTGGGCCTCAGCAGGGTGGACGATGTCCTCCCGTGGCTGCTCAAGTTCAAGTCGGAGGTGCAGCTGGGAGTGCTGCCCGTGCCTTCGCTGGACTGGGACATCGACAGTCTCAACTCGTGGAGCGAGCTGTTCGAGCAGGAGCTGCCGCCGCCACTGGAGCAGGCCCTGGAGGAACAGGAGTTTGACTCTGTGGTACGTGGGCATCGGTGAACCATTAATCGCGGAGCTTCGTCCAGCTTTGTTCGACTTCGGCGCCCCATGATTCCTCATATGTTTACCTTGAGTTGCGACCAGGTCCTATTGGAAGTTTCATTTAGGAACGACGCTACTAGCTGGCTTTTCTCGAAACGTGTCAGGCGCGTTGCGTCACGTCAGGCTCTCTTCTAGTATGACGACTTCAATCAGTCACAGGTAACGCCATGATTCGGGCGCTCACGTCCTAGCGTTGACTGCTGTTCGCAAAACAACCTTGTGCAAGGTCACAGCCACCATAAGACACTAGGCACATCACGACCAAGAGCTGTGCGGTTCTGCTTTGGCGGCAAAGGCGCATTGGCAGCATGGATAGGTCACAACAACGCCCGTTTCCGCTTTCTCACCGACAACGGTCACCGCAGGCGATTTCAATACCACAGGCGCATCCTGCCTGTACCGCGAGCCGACCCCCACCTCGGCCGACCCCAGCTCTGCGACGCCCCGTGCGGCCGCGGCGCCGCCGCGAACGGCGCTGTACGCGACATGTGCCGCCTTGCCGACAGCGGTCGGCACGCGCCCCCGATGGTCTGCCTCCGATCCTCACAGCGGCCGCTCCTCCGCTCGAGCCTGCTCGATGCGTCGTGCGGTCGTGTTCCGCAACCCGCACGGTGCTGACCGCTCAGCGGCGGCGTCTCTCGGCAGGGCGCAAAGCTTTGACCTTGAGACGAACGTGTATCGCGGCAGGGTGCGCACAGTCGTTGACCTTCTGACGGCCGTATTTTGCGGCAGGCCGCGCTGCTGCTGTCTGCTAGGCGTGTTTCGCTGCAGCGCGCGCGCTCTTGACCATCCGCCTCCGTGTTTCGCGGCGGGGGTTCGCGTTTTTGCCGACTTGCCGCCGGCGTGTGTGTTCGGTCCGCGGCTATGAATAGCCCGGCCGGCGCGGCCGGCGCCTGGACGCCGTCGCCGCCGACGCTCGTCGCCAGTCTCGCGTCGGTGCCGACGGTGCAATGTGCCAGGCGGCCGGGGTCAGGTCATGGCCGCTCAGGTGAGGGGCGTCGCCGGTCAGGGTCAGGGTGAGGCTCGCGCAGCGTCGCCGGCTGCGCGGGGCTCGACGATTGGCCGGCGGCGGCGCGTTGCTGCGAAGTGGTGAGCCGGGCACGTGGTCAGAGGGTGCGGTACGCCACATGGTGCGGTGCTGAATGCGCACGCTCGCGCAACGACCTTGCGAAGCCCGGCATTGGCCCTACCCGAACAGATACCTTGCTTTCCCAGGCCAGGCCTTCCCCATTTCTTCCAATGTGAGGTACTCAGCGGTGCATTCAGTACTTATTAAAGCGAGCTGTATATGCAGCGCTCATATCACATTTTCCCCATCCCTGCCCATGAAATTCAAACTTCTTTTCGATCTTTTGCGCATGCATTACCATCCCCGTCATCCTGTGACAATCTGATCCCTCTGCGCGCAGGCGGAGGAACTGTATGTGGAAGCGTTGTACGCGGCCTACCACCCTATCGGCTGTGACGCCCCGGACGCGGATCAGGTCAAGGAGATCGAGCAGCTGCTTCGTGACATTTTTCACCCCAGCGAGGAGCAGCAGGAGGCCTGCCTGCAGAAGCTGGAGAACCTTGGGGTAGGTGGCCGACCGATGAAGATGATATTGACTCGTGACGGCTCCCCGAAGAAATTGGGCATTCAGCGTGTCTGCATCGCATCAGGAGGGACCATGTCTTTTAACAGATAACGTTTAACGACCGAGCTGTGCTGTTCATGTGACGGAGGGAAGTCGCATTAGTTCATCTCGACGTATAAACCCTTCGCGAACTCAGGATGATAGTGACAGATTAATTGGATTACGATGGTGTGCCTCCGGTTTTCCCTCTCATAGTAATACGCTAGCTTAAAAGCGAAGTGCTCCACACGTGCTCTAGCATGCACGCGGTGACTCGTGACGATTCCGACAAAAACCGCCTCGTTCGTCCTGCAGTCGCCGGACATCTGCCTCAACTGCACGGTGCTGGGTGCCAAGGGTCTCAAGGCGAAGGACGTCAATGGTGAGTGACCTGCTGTCCGGCGACGAGCCGACGGCCCTGTTCCGTGTCCACAACCAACGCGGAAGTCAGCCGGCTTATGTCTCAGTTGCACTCCCGGTCCCGCTGTTTACGTTTCGCCAGGTGCCAACGGAAGCGGATTGGCGATATCGCACCTGTCTGCGGTGAGCGGTAGCAGATGAGGTCTGCGTGCGGGCGTGGGCGCGGGCGTTTACCGTTCACACGCGCGCTCAAGCACGGCTGTGGATGCTGTGGTTGCATGTGGCGGGACTCCTCGCTGAGTCTAAATATGTAACGCTAAGCCGAGGGCATATGTTGTTTGTGGTTCAGCGCTTGAAGGTGTTGGCGCTAAGGAGATATTTTCTAAGCTTCCCTCAAGTAAATTTGATGGAAATACGACACTACGCACGGAATTATGGCACCCATTTGGGTCATGCCATGTTCGTGCTTGGGCAGACGCGAAGGGCAATGCTGTTGGTATCGCCTTCCAAAAGGTGTCGGTCATAAGTTCGTGAGTTTGCGCACGATGGGACTTGGCGTGTCGCTGTACATGACGCTGTCACCATCCACGAAACTTCACCAACTCCTCGCGTTGACCAACAGCAACTCGAACTGACTAACCGATCAAGGCGATCGCTTCCTCATCTCGGTCAGCTGGGGCAGATGACATGAACTGGGATGCCACGAGTATCCCGGATAGGGCACCACAGCTGGCAGATCCTTGCCCGGGACGTGCTGCACTCGTTACCGAGTATGCCATAGCGCGAGCCTCGGTGTTCGCAGAGCGGAGACCTCCCTTCCCTCACACCGACTATCACTTGTCAGCTGACCTTAAAACGCTCCTTGACTCTCACTCGAACTTGACCTGGTTCAGCAGGCTGAAGACATGGCTGACGGAAGTTGAAGACAAGAAGGTGGTCTGGGAGAGAGGTTCGCCTCTGGGACAAGCTAGAAGGGCCAGCAACGCGACCCCAGGGAAACTATCAGCTCCCTTGCCTTCTCCAGTGGTTATGCGTCGTGCGCGATGCGGACGTAAGACTCAAGACGAATGACAGCCTTAGCGGTCATTCAAAGCCCCAGAAGGCGGCGACAGTCATGCAGGACACGGACTTCACCACGTCAGGTCGACGGTTTGCCGATGATACAGCATAGTCTTGAGCCGCTCGCCGTGGTCCTCTGGTTCGCCACGCTCAATCACAGCGATGCAGTCCAGACAGTGCACACTCTGGTGTCTCCGACAGAAGGCTGACCGGTACGATCTGCTGAGCTGAGCACCTGATACCAATCCGGGTATTGCCTTGTGAGTTGATCCTGTCCAGATGGAACAGGATTCCGGCGATGTATCGTGACAGGTTCCGGTGCGATGTGGTGCTCCGCACTTCTAAGATCGACGACGCTGTAGGACTCGCTCCGGAGTGAGCTTTGAAGCCTTTACACGGTCGGCAGCGCAAGCACGTCAGCGGCGATCTGCGCGTTCGGATACGGCAGTTGCATGGGGACGAAAACTAAGAGGGAGACTCTCAACCGGTTTGTACCGTCCTTCTTTCCCGCGGTGGTCTTCCGAAGTCGGACTGACGGCGACCGACGGTACTTTGAGCGGACCCGAACCCATCACCGCGTCCTCACCAGCCTCTCAATGACGCGAGGGTTGGTGGCGGCGTGGCGTCCGCAGGCCGTCGCCATGGCCAGCATGACTCCGGCACTATTTAGTCGGACCTCGCCAGAGCACAAACAGTGGCGCAGTTAGCGGTCAGGGCGGCGTGCCCTTGAATGGCCGGCGCGCCAGGGCGACGCCCAGTGCCGAAACCGTGACACCGGTGTCGGCCTGCGCCCGCACCCGTTCACCCGTCCGTGTCAGCTGACACCGGGACGTTGCAAGTCATCCCGCCGGGCCCGAGCTGACAAACAAGTCAGCTCCCGGAACTCACGGCTCCCCCGCGAGTATGACCTCGACAAACGACTGCGCAATAGCCAACGCCATCCCGCTATCTGTAAGCGGCTCGTGATTCGGTGGGTTACTGGACACATTCCCCCTGCTGTTCGTCCGCTGTCCCTCAGCTTAAACGCCCGGATGCCGGTGGTGATTCTACATAGCACAGTGCAATCATTGGTTGGCTGGCTCTCACGGGTGCATCGGGGAAGGTTGCAGGCCCATATGTCATAACAGTGTTACGTGCCTAATAGGCTGATATGAGATGGTAACACCAGATAGCATCACTATTGTGGTACAGAGCTGTTGTCCGTCTGAGGGCGCCATATTTTTGGTCCTTAATGTGGTATTCCGCCGAGGTCGTGGCGAATGAGACAGTGGCGGAAAAAATGTTTCCGATAGTTGGCGGGCAAACATAACCATACGCCATAGCCATCCGCCAGCTCAGATTTGGACAGCGTCGGCAATGTCCTGAATGCGATATGACCTTTCCTCTCGCGTGTCGACGGCAGGCGAGCTGACGTAAACCGTGTAAATATCGATTTCACCGTTACGTATGGAAACGTGTACCTGTTCGTTTGGCAGTATGCGTGACGAACGGCATTGTGCACATAGCTCCGTTACCAATTGTGCTGTTATTTGTCCAGCGTAGGAAACTGTATCGCCATCGGCAAATTTCCGTTTGCTGACTCTTATTTCACGGTCTAGGTCTATCCCAGCTGTTTTGGAGGGATGGTGAGTGGTTCACATGGCAGGATGTTGGTATGGTCATGTGATCTCACCACCGCAGCTGGTGTAGCGGCGCTAAACGCTGGACACCGTCACTGTTAATGTTGGTTTATGGGATGATCGCAAATTATTTAGTCCTTTCAGGGTGAGATGAAACACCAGTTGTATAGCGTAGCAACAAACAAAGTCGCAGGCTGGGCTTGTCATATTGTCGACTAGTCGGAGATATTTTGGCCTGTCGTCCGCCCAGCTCTGCTGCATTGGCGTTTTTTATATTTAGTATGTCAAGGTGGGGTCAGGTTTTTGCTTGTGTGTACATCGCGTGTTAAATGTTCTAAAAACTTAACTGATTCCGTAATGGGGCTTTGGTCTGTGAATTGCTTAAGCATTAAATAAATAAACAGATAAATACAAAATCGTCGACGAATATTGTCAGCTCTGTTCAGGCCTGTGGTCAGTCTACTCTAAAACGGTGACCGTATAGTTTTGTGCACGGACGGTTCAGAGAAACAATCGTTTTACCCGCTCAGCTTGTCAAAAATGGGACATTACGATGCATTGAACATGCCCAGTGGAATGGATTGCCATTAAGCCAACTCGATTTGCTGAAGTGTTGGGTCCATTTTTATTATAACTCACACCTGGTATTACCCCAGCCGTCCAGCGCCACAAAAGCACCTTGCCGCTAGATATGCTGACTAAGAGATCATATAAATAGTAAATGAAAGGTAATGACAGTTCCTGGAATTTCACAACATTCGCGCAGAATCACCAATGCTCTTTCATTCGCTTCAACGTTCGTTCGCTTTAAATCCCGTATGTTCCTTCATGCATCACGTTGACACCCGATACCTGATGTTCCAGGGCTGAGTGACCCATACTGCATGCTCTTCATCAACAACGAGGAGCGGCGAGAGACTCACGTTTGCCAGCGCACGCTGAACCCCGTCTGGAACGATACGTTCAAGCTGTGAGTTAGTCGCACTCGCAACCTCACGGGAGGCCGCTTTGGAGAGCTGGTTTTGTCGCTACCTGATGTTCAAGGACTGCCTAATGCCTTTTCTTCGGACGGTTAGCCTGTTTTTTTTTTGTCAAACTATTGGACTTCAGTCTTCTGCTTCTTTCCAACGGTGTTCAAGGTGAGCACGACGTTGCGTTTTGATAGATGCATTTAGCCAGAAAACAGTCGTAGCTTTTCTTGAATGCGCTGCATTTGGGGATCTTTGTTTGGATGTTCTAGCATTGCGATGCGAATTACGAAGAACTACGATTATTTTGCAGGTCTCTCCGGATGTTCGGTTGCTGGAATCCGCCTGACACTATTTGACCCTCTTCTTCGCAGAGCCCTCAGCAATCCGGCCACAGACGTGCTTAAAGTCGAGGTGTGGGACTTCGACATGGACGAGAATCTGAAGCAGCGCATCGGCAAGTTTAGTGAAATCAAAGATCTGAAGGGCATGACCCGCTATATGAAGGAGGTTACCAAGGGGAAAACCCATGACTCCCTCGGCCACGTGCAGATCCAACTGAAGGTAAGCCTATCCCACAGGCCTGCCAGTGCACCCATCGAGCTTACCGATTGTACTTGTAGTTGCAAGCAACTCTGGGGTCGCCCCCTTTAGCTTTTGAAGGAGGCGTCTGCGTCCAAGCGCCGCAAATCAGATACGCACGACATTAGTTTCCCTCAGCCCGTCTCACGCCGTCTGGTGACCCTCACCTCGGACCGGCAGGAGGTGCCGGCGCTGGGCGTGGAGCAGTCGTACAAGCTGCAGCGCCGCGCGCGGGAGCTGACCTCCAAGGAGCGGCCCGGTCGGGCCGAGAAGGACCGTGGCACCGTCCAGCTGCGCCTGCGCTACCACAACGTGCGCCTCCAGCAGCGCGCCGACCACGTGCGCCGCCACGAGCGGCTGCAGCTGGCCGTGGTGGGCGCTGCGCGGCGCCAGTACAGCGACTCGCCTTACACATGGCACGAGCAGCTGCTACCGGCCGCCGCGCGCTCGCTGCTCACCCAGCATGCCGCCTGGGGCAACATGAGCCGCGCCGAAATGCTGGTGGCCGCCTGGTCCGCCTACGCTGAGGTGCACTGCACCGCGCCGCTCAACTACAAGTTTCTCTTCGGCACGCTGCAGAGCGTGAAGCAGTGCCTGCTGGAGGGCGGTGCCACAGCCAGCGATGTGAGCGACCGTTCGGGGACCCAGCGTGCGGTCTCGACCGTGGTGTGACGCGGGGGTGCAGGTGGTTCGGGCTGTTAAGTGTGCAGGACTCGGTACAGCGGTGTCCTTTTAAAGGACGCTGCCTCACATATGCCAGAACGTGAAAATGACGCCTCGCCGAAAGATTGGCTAGTTGCATAGCAAGCCTTTAATCTGTCATCTCGTCGCTCCCGGTCACATCAATCTCATTGCTAGGTTCAGCATTCTTAGAAGTGCACCATGAAATTAACAAAGGCAATCAGCCACACAAAATTAATTAATTCGGCTGCGCCTGTTTTATGCCAGACACTTAAAGATCGTACAGGAACTACAGGTGTATACAACGTGGCAGATACCCCGTGAGCTCGACCATCCCACTGGCCAGCTGCCCCTCTCATGTGTTCATCCGCTAACGCGACACCCACGGTCATCAGTCACATCGTGAGGGTCGGCGTTCTAAAGACAGCGTCCATCCGTCTTTCAGGTGACGCGGTTCCTGGACACATTCCAGCGGTTCACGGACCACTGCTACGAGACGATCCACATGCACCGGCATCTGTTCAGCTCCCAGGGCCCGGCCGGCTTCTACAGCATCGAGTACCTGCTCAGGTCGGTGTGGCGGACGCCCGGTACTGTGGGCGAGGTTACGGCGGTTGTTTGGTGTGATCGGCCGGGTGGGAGGTGAGGGCCACGCGGAGAGTAGCGCTTCTGTGACCTAGACACACCTGATTGTCCCCGACTATAGCCTGTTTGTTCGTTAGTGCTTGGGACACGAACCTGTCTGTTCTAGTGCTATTTTTTAGCATTGATTGTCCTGTTGTCACATGGATGAAACCGAGACGGAAGCTGAGGCTGCCCCCCAATCTTGAGAAGCTTCGCAGGCCGCCGCTGCCACACGCGTATGGGTTCCGTGCGGCCGCAGGTGCTTGGTGCTGCTGTCCGAGTTCCCGGAGCTGATCAAGAAGACGGCCGAGAAGCTGGAGACGCCGATGCCGCTCATCTCCAACGAGGAGAAGGCGTGCAACCCCAAGCGGCATGTGCTCACAGCGCTGCGCCACGGCAACGAGGACTGGTCCGTGGCGGCTGCTGTCTGAGAGTCTCCTGAGTGTCATTGGCCAGTTCAACGTAGAACATGTCCTTTTCAGTCACAGCGCGGATCGAGTGCTCTGCAGTGCTGACAGGAAAGGTCACTACTGTTTGGCACCCCGTTCTAATTTCCGCGTGAATCTCTTGTCCAAGAGTAGTTAGGATCGGTGTCTGTTAGAAATCCCGCAAGCATGCCTTTTTGCCTGGACGCTGATGAGTGATCCAAACTAGGGCATAATTTTCGGAGCACATGAGCCGAATCGTACCTTGGAATCTGTGTTGCATCATGCGCCGCCGTGGCGCGGCAGGGCACGACGATAGCCGTTGGTGTGGCCGGAACCGAGCGGTGGCGGTCTCCCCCTGCTCGCGAGTTCAGCACCATATCCATCTGACGACACGCCAGGATGTTCTGTGGTGTTTACTCGGAGGCGACACTGTAACTCCAGACCATGCCTTTAGGAATGCTTTCTGAAGCGTGCGTTGGTGACTGTCACCAATCACATGCGGGCGACAAGCAGAAACGTCCGCCACGATCACCAATCCCGCGCGTGCAGGTACAGACACGTCTACGCCTCGACCAAGAAGGAGAGCGAGGACCAGCCGGGGCAGGACGCCCGTTGCCAGAGCCTAATCCTGCTCATCAACATGCTGTATAACGACGTCAAGCGAGGCCTAGAGAGCTACAACCAGATCTTCAGTCGCATTCTGGGCATCAACTACTTCTCCATAGCGTACCTGCAGTTCGCAGAGAAGGTACCAGATAACTGCGTTGATAGCTCGAAAGCGATCAGAGATATATAGATTATTGTATCGTTTTGCACCAGATGAAAGGGCTAAGGAAGTGCCGCTTTTGGAACAGGAGGTAATAGGCTGATCAGCTTTCCTATCCTTAGCTATCGGTATCATAGAAAAAGAGGCAGTTGCTCTGGTTTGCCTGAATGCGTTATAACTCGCCTCCGCATAAGCTTCCACTACGTCGCCTTCCTTTGATTCCATCCCGGTCCGACGTCGCCCATCCCCGCCTCCCCGCTGGCTGAAACCGGAGGTCGGTCCCGCCCCTCCCCCTTCCAGGTCCGACCCCCTGGCGCAGGCCTATCTCCACGCCACATGCGGGAGCAGCTCGGCCCCCAGCCTCGTTGACTAGGCCGCGGTCTGACCGTCCTGTCCCCCGCCAGCTGGAGCAGGAGATCGGCCCGATCGTAGCCGAGATCTCGCGCTCGCTGCCCACTGTGGAGTACAAGGAGGGCGCCACCCAGAACCTCTCATCGCCTGAGGGGCTCGATATGGGCACTTCGCTCTTCGAGCTGTACCTGGCCGTCCAGCTGTTCACCAGGTGCGAGCTAAGCCGGGCTTGAGTGTTAGGAGGCCTGCGGGGACGGTCAACTTCAGCCGATGCTACCGTGTGAAAAGGTGCCTGGGAATGTTCCGGGAAGCGAAAGTTTTTAAATGGTGGTCCTGCTGGGTCGACAGCAGGGCTTTTAAGGCAGCCTTTGGACATAACTTGGTATGTCACAGTATACCGGTGCTTTACGCGCTGGCAGCTACAGTGCAATCCTGCGCTGAAGGTGTGTCGGACTTAATGCATCCAAGAGGTGTTGACGGAGCTCCTGAATGTTTGTGTGCGTGTCGCTGCTGCAGTCTGCGAGAGAAGCTGCCCGAGACGGAAGTGGAAGGCGAGGAGTCGCCCCTGCAGAACGCGTACCTGTGGTTCGCCGGAGCCGTCAATCGGTGGCTGGACATAGCCTGCTACAAGGCCATGCATCGCATCAAGCGTGCGATAGAGCTGGACCAGGCCAGACAGGTGCGTCAACCAACGGAGCTGCTCCAACCCATCCCGTGCCTCTCCTCCGGCTGTCGGTCAACGTCCACGCAATCTTACACAAGGAGTGCGACACTTCCGAAGGGAATTTGACGACTTACTGCCAGCCCACATCAGCGACTCTCGCCTTCTCCGCCCAGGTGCACACGTTCGTGAACCACAGCAGCTCGGCCGTGGACACTGTGGCTGTGTTCTATCAGATCAAGACGTTCTGGAAGCAGCTCAGTTGGCCGGACGCCATCAGCTCGTACGGCTTTGTCACCAAGGTGAGCAGCGGCCCTTTGTCCGGCATCTGTCAAAGTGGTACGGCTTTGTCACCAAGGTGAGCAGCGGCCCTTTGTCCGGCATCTGTCAAAGTGGTACGGCTTTGTCACCAAGGTGAGCAGCGGCCCTGTGTCCGGCATCTGTCAAAATGGTACGGCTTTGTCACCAAGGTGAGCAGCGGCCCTGTGTCCAGCATCTGCCAAAGTGCTACTGATGTGGTGGTTGTGTGGATGGAAACATGATGGGTGTGTGGAAGGGGTGGTGGTATTACATCAGCGACGTGCTATTTTATGATTTTGCCATCTGCATGAAATCTTCAACGAAATATTTGTGCATCTCTATCTATATGGTTTCACCCTGACGAAACGTGATGTATGAGTCTTTTTGTTTTAGTTTCCTCCTTCCCTGTGTCTTTCAGCCTTTCAGCATTTCGGCAGATTTGACAGCAAAATAGCATCTGTACAGTTGTGCCGATTTCAGCGTTTCGGGTGGAACACAAATGTGGTTCATGGCTACCGTGCGATGTGATCTGGGAGATGCCGCGCGCTAAATCAGTTAAACGACAGAAGCTTTTCATTCTTGAAAGTGATTTGAGCCGGGACGAGAGCGAGTCAGCGCGGATGTACGCGCATGCCATACTAGCGATGCACAGTTCATATTTCCACCGAGGCGACCACGTCACGACCCCACATTCTCCATCCAGCAATACTGGCCGGCCGGCCGATTAACGGGGCCTGCCTGTTCCGTTCAGGTTCTGGACGACATCACCAGGAGCGCCACCTTCTACGTGGCGCAGATGCACCGGCACCTGAAGGCATGCGGCTACTTCTGCGCCGCCCGGCCTTTCAGCTTCACCCAGGAGCTGTGCCTGGCTCTGAACAACGTGGAGTTCGTGCGCGAACAGATCCATCCGCTGCCTAACGAGCTCGGCTTCGAAACAGTGAGTAGCAAGGCAGGGTTCCGTCTCTTCCCGCAATCAGCGGCGTTTTGCGGCAGCGGCGAAAGGACGCCCCGGGTTGTCTCATGATGAGTCGCGCTTTTTGTTTACTGTTCAGGGCCGCGTGCATGCACCGCCACCCGATATCTGGTCTCATGTCCAGACGCGCAGTGGCCTTGTCGTCATGTGATGAACGTTACGCTTCGGTGCCGGTCGATGTCGTCATTGCATTTCCGGGTGGCAACAGAGCAAAAAGCAAGCTCAATGCAGTGGGTGGCCGGCGTATGTAGGCCTCTCCTGCAGCAGCGAGCCCTTGTGCTGAGGCGCTGCACCGGCGGCTTGTGACTGCTCGGTGACTTGTGCAGCGCTCACGCCCGCCCCCTCTGTGGCCGCTGTGACAGCGGCGGCGTATGTAGACCTCTCCTGCAGCAGCGAACCCTTGTCCTGAGGCGCTGCACCGGCGGCTTGCGACTGCTCGGTGACTTGGTGCAGCCCTCACGCCCGCTCCCTCTGTGGCCGCTGTGACGGCGGCAGCGTGACCGCGCCCTGCTGCCGCCGTCGTCAGGTGTTCTCGGCCATGGAGGAGCAGCTCGGCTCGCAGGGTACCATCCAGTGCCGGATGACGCTGCAGAACGTCATCGATCAGGCCATCGAGGACATGGAGCATGGCATCAGCGACATGGTGGACGGATCTGTGGCGCAGGTCAGTGTGTGATGCAGGATCTGTGGCGCAGATCAGTCTGTAGCGCAGGGTCTGTGGGACAGGGTCTACGGGGCAGGCTAATGTGCAGGGACTGCATGACAGGCTAGTCTGTAGCTCAGGATCTGTGGAGCAGGCCAGTCTGTAGTGCAGGGTCTGTGGAGCAGGCCAGTCTGTAACGCCGGGTCCGTGGGGCAGGTCGGTGTGTAGTGTAGAGTCTGTGGGTAGGTCAGTCTGTAACACAGGGTCCGTGGGGCAGGTCAGTCTGTAGTACAGGGTCTGTGGGGAAGGTCAGTCTGTAACAATAGGTTTGTGTGGCAGGTAAGTCTGCACCACATGGTCTGTGGGGCAGGCCAGTCTGTAACACAGGGTCCGTGGGGTAGGTCAGCCTGTACTACAAGGTCTGTGGAGCAGGCCAGTCTGTAACGCCGGGTCTCACCAGCCCTATGGACAGTGTCTGCGAGTGGCACAGCTAGGAGGCGGCTCGTCGTAGGGCAGGCGGAGTGACTGCTGACGACAGTCGCTCGTAGTCGAGGCGTGCCGCAGGCGCACCCGTATTCTTTGCCTACCGGGTTATGACTGATGAAATGCATTTATATTCTACGAATATGGCCTTTGCTGTGTCATCGTTGCTGACTGAGTGCACACATATTTTTCAGAAGTTTTGTTCAGCGTAGCGTGAAGCAGCACCAACGACGTAGCATCGGTTTTCCTTGTTGTAAACACTGAGAGTTGTTCTGTCCCGCTCGTCACTGCTGACGCGTTGTAGACCGGTCGGCAACCCGTGAACGCTGTGCCCCGCCCGCAGATGCTGCCACAAGTGCACTCCTACCTTAGTCAGCTGACGCAGCCTCACTGCCGCCTGGTGCCGGCCGACAACATCATCTCTTACCTGGACACGAACTTGATGCTGCTCTACCCGCGTCTGCACCCGCTCAACCTGCGCCGAGTGCTCGAATCCATCTGGGTGCAGGTGCTGAAGACGGTGGTCGACAACACCACCCGCTACAGCAAGGTGCGGTAAGCAGGCTGCAGGACCCTGGCAGCCGCGTCCTGCCCGTGATTGTGCCACACAGGCGGGAGAACGCTGGGGAGGGGGGGGGGGGGTAATTGCTGCAGGCCCCTGGCAGCCGTGTCCTGCCCGTGATTGTGCCACACGGGCGGGAGAATGCTGGGCAGGGGGGAGGGGGTAATTGTTCCGACCCTTCTACCGACAATTAACTTTACTTTGTTACACCACGCAACGTACCTGTGTTGTTTGTTCAAGCGATCTGGCGGATACGTCAGTCAGTGTACTGATGCCATCCTTGTTACTTCGCAGAAGGAGACGGAGTATTTCGCCACAATCTCGAGCCTGGTGAACGCGCTGGTGGAGTTCATCAACGGCGACGACAAGGGCTTGGCGATGGATGCCATTCACACAGACACCTACAAGAAGTTTGTGCACTGGGTCAACATCTACAAATGCGACCCTGAACGCCTGATCGCCATGTACTACGCGTGAGTGGCCCTGAGAATGCTGATGGAGACCTGGCGAAACCTCCAGAGTGGCTGACGGCAACAGACTATCACTCTTTTGTATATGGCACAACTTGCCTCAGGGTTTGCTACCACCAGAACGCACAATGGCCAAAGGAACTTCCACGTCTCCTTAAGCAATGTATGACAAGTGATACGCAATGCATTGCCCACTTTCGTCACGTTTATGACATAATGTTGCAGTTGGTCGTCCTGGTTTTCATCTATTGAGTGTAATGTGTCGTCTCCAGGCGTAAATACGACCTTCAAGAGGAGCTGGACGAGTCGCTGCACGGCAAGCTCTCCACCAAGGCCTTCTTCGTCGACAACGTGCTGCGTGTGGAGGTGCTCAACGCGCGTGGAATCCGGCCGTCCGACCCAGACAGTGAGCACCGGCCCGCTCGTATGACGGCCAGCCCGTCACCGAGCGCACGCGTGTAATCGGGGTATTCAGACATCAATGAACGTGGTTGCCTCTCATGTTCGCCAGAACTCCTGATCATGATCTTTTAGGATATTGCTGATGAGACAAATGAGTAGCATCCTATGATATACGGCAATACGTGCTAGGAGGATTAAGTTGCAGAGATGCAATATGATCTGTGTCTTTTTTCAGCCTGTGACGCCTACGTGAAGGTTCAGATTCTGCCTGAGACGCTGGCGCCCAATATGGAGAAGGTGCAAACCAAGGTCCAGAAGAAGACCATCTTCCCGCTCTTCGACGAAGTCTTCGAGTTGTAAGTTCAGTGAAGAGATATGTCTTTTCCTGACTACCTGTAATTTCTCGAACCAGTTTGGACTAACTTCATTGACGCAAGCTAGGGATTTCCATTAGCTTCCTATACGGCATGTTACAGGCAGCGCTAGTGCATTGCCATCCTAAAGTTACCTCGGCTCCATTGAGCGGAAAACGGAAATCCACAGACGGCTTAGTAGTGTTCGGGCATGGTCATCACAATCACAAAGACGTCGCTGACCCGGCGCACAGAGGCCTTGGCTTCCTTCCCTGCCGTGGCAGCTCCCAACTCCAATTGACGTCATGACCTGGACCATAGCTTTCTGTAACCTCTGCCCATGATGGAATGGTGACCTCGACCTCCATCTGACATTGCCCGTTAGTGCTGACCTCCACCTCTCTCAAACTGGTACCCTGACCTTGACCAGGCTTGTCATCTCCGATCTCGGCCCGACACAGCATCTCCGACTTCCAGTTAACTCGAACCGTCGACTCGAGCTTTCTTCCACGACCAAGCCGTAACACCCTTGAGCCCCATTCGGCCTGAGCCGATACATAGCTCTTCAGACTGACTTGAATCGGCATCTCATATCTTCATCTGACCTGACCTGACCTGGCATCTTACCACCGTCTGACCTGTTCCGTCACCATTGAATTCATCACCCGATTCACCCATGATCACCTGACATACCTCAGCATGCCTGACTTGTAGCTAACCCGGCCTAGGGACTCGGATCTCACTCGACACCTGAACGGGCGCCTCTGGCCTCTGCGTGACCAAACACGGCACCTGTGATCTCCACCTGACCTGACCCAACAACTCTGACCTTCATCCAGCCCAGCCGGGTAGCTCTGACCTCTGACCTGTCACATATGACCACCATCTGATCTGACCGGTCACATCTGACCCTCACCGGGCCTGACTCGGCAGCTCTGTGGACCGGGAGCGGCTGGTGGCGCGCGACTGTCACCTGCTCTTCACGGTCAAGGACCATCACACGCTGGTGGAGTCTGAGCTGCTGGGCGAGGCCGTGTTGCCGCTGGCCCGGCTCCAGAACGTCGCCTACAGCCAGGCGCGTCACGTGGACCAGCAGCTGCTCAGTCTGATGCCAGTCCGCATGAGAGGTGGGACGCGGCGCGCGTGGTGGGGATGACGTGGCCAGCGGCCATCCTGCATATTCGGCCATTCGGACGGGTGTGCGACTTGAAGAGGAAACTCGAAGGTGGAAAAATGGGATTTCTTACATTTTTATCAGTTCATACCATTAAAAACACATCTTAAGTATGGAGCAGGTCAGCCAGGGATTATTTGTCTTCATTGGTTTATGTTATGAACAACACCGAGGCTCTCAGGTTAGATCGGATTTTCGTGAAGTATCCACCGCCGTCTGCCCTTTACAGCCGAACAGCAGGAGATCTTCCGGGCGCTAGTGGACAAGTCCTCCTGGAGCCCGGTGGCAGCCGAGTTCGTCCGCAAGCTCAACAAGCGACTACGGCGAGACAGCGCCAATCCCGGCGGGCCCACCAGCACCATCTCGCGGCGACTCTTCAGGTCCTAGCCGGCCGCCGGCCACGCGCCACCCACATCTGTGATATCCTCGTACCGAACAATGCTCATGCGGTGACGTAAGCGGCGCGGCCCGCCGTGCGTGCGACCGGTCTGCCCGACCAGTGGTGAAACCAAAGACGACATTACTAGCCTGTATCGAGCTTGTAAATTCACCGAGTTCGACCTCGGTACGGTTCTGAGGCCGGAAGAAGTCGTCTCGCGTTCTGTTTGGTGATTATGTTCGTGATTTGGAATGTGCGCGTGTTTACTGTTTCTTTCAATGCGCCATCGAGAAAGATGACGACGTCTGCAGCAAGCCGGGCTCCAGACAACAAGTATTGATGTACTTGAAAACGCATTTTATACAAATGTAAAGAAAGTTCTGGCGTTTACTCGCTTAGACTGAAGTGCAGGTTGAGTTTTTTAAGTAGGGTGTTAGTACCTCTTCAGGTATCTGTGGAGTGGGCGTTGCAAATAGTCGGCAGTATCCCGGCCTGAATCACAAACAACTTACGCCGGCGGAGACCGTGAAATTTCGACTCTTCATCTTGCTTATTTCTGCCCCTACAAGAAAAGTGTAGACGATCAAATAATCCGCGCTTGATGTGGCTGACGGCTGGGGAAATTTGAACTCGAGGCAATCGCATCGAGTTCAAGGGCTGAGCAGGAGTACGTTATTAGCAAACTTAATGTGAATTGACGAGGTTTCCCCACCTCCGAGCTGGAAATGCCATGCACGACAGATTGCGCGGGTTTGCAAGGTAATATTTTCTTGGCGAACACGCTTGTCAAGGTTGACGAATAACTAGGACCACGCCTGGCAGGGTTTATCGTTTACAGCTTTGCGGAACGATTGAGACGAGGCACAAGTGTCACGAATTGACTAATTGTTCGGGCAATCGGTCGCCTGGTGTGTTGGTATGTGCACAAGGTTTCGGCCGCTTAATTCTCCAGCTGCTTGAAAAATGTTGTTGGAGGAATGTTTCACATTTAAAAACATTGAGGCGAGCATCAGATAGGATGAAACAAGCTCACTTATAAGCATTGGTATGCTTTTTAGGTGGAAAAGACTGCTCTGGACAGCACAATTCTCTGTTTGTTAAATATTCCCCTTAACGCGTCATGGTTTAATTACGTCATCGTACCTCGCACAACATTGATTAAGAGACAATTGACGACTGTTATATCTTGAAATCTTGCTTACAAACGCCAGATATGAATGCCTCGACAATTGTATTTGTCTTCGCTTTGGTCGGCGCACGGCTTATGGAATGGCAGTATTTAAATGACGTTGTTATGACCTCATGAGTGCCAGGGTTACTTTGAAACATTCTCCCCGAAATACTCTCGACATTTTCGCGGGCCTGCAGCTTAGAAACTAAGGTGGCCTAGGTCCTAAGTAGGGCAGGATTGTGAACAGCACCGGAAGATGTTCAAGATAGCTATTTCAGTTCAAAGCCCCATATAAATGTGGAATACTCACTTAACAGGTGCACATGCATGCTGCAGTGACAGAGTTGTACCGACTGTCTCACTGGTTTCAGGACCGAAAATATGCCTCATGAGATTGGAGCTTCTGTAGAATCGTTTGAAGTCCAGTAACGGACCACCCTGCGGACGTGATGCAAACCGCCCAAATCAGCATAAACATGGCACGTATGCAGACCGTTTGTACCGGGTGACGTAGCACGTGTGCATGTGTGTGAAAATGCAAAGCTATAACGACCGTCTCGTCGATTTCGAGTCCGAAATTACGCATTATAAGACCGGAACTTCTGCTTAATTGCTCCAAGTCCGGTGACGGACCTCCCTCCGGGCTAGTTGAATATCGGCCAAAGCGGTACAAGCCTGGCACGTAGGCACGCATGTGAAATATGGAGACACGTGCCCAGCATGTCCACCTCTCGGCAGCTCTCTTGACTGCAAGTATCACCCAGGCACGACCAATCAGCCGTCGCCGGCTATGACCCCTGCCCCAGCAAAACCCGCCACGACAGAAACAATAAAGTCACGGCGTGTGGAGGGCAGGTGGGCCACCGGTCTTCAGAGGAAGCTTTGTCGGGATACAACTGGAGATAATTTATGTCCAAACTTAGCACCAACCCCTTTGAAAATATTCACACATGGTGAAAAGAGCAGTGTCTTCCGCCTAAGTGGGAGGGGGAGAGGGGGATGACTCGAGCCAGTGGATCAGGGACCAGTGGGCGGCGCGGTGTACCCGCGCCAAATTTTGCATAGCTGTAGACAATGGAATAGCAGATCGGTTGGTATACAAATCTTGATATACCTTGAAAGGTTGCTGACCTATGGCAGGTCAAAGTCAAACCATGGTTTCTGCGGGGTCAATTTATGGGAAATCATTCAATCTGATGCAACAACGGAGTGTTAGACAAAGTCATACGTCTCTGATATGCTTTCTTAGACAGCACGACAGTTGAATGAGCAAATTACGTTGACTTAGGTCAGGTATGAAGGTCAGACCAAGGTAAAAAACAACCTGTTTTATTACTCCAAGGCCTGCTGTATGGGATAGTTTCTGGTGCTCATTTCAAATTTATTGGTGGCAGGAACCGCATCATATATCTTCCATGGACTTCTTAAACGTCAGAATAGGTCATTGACCTAAAGTGACCCGGGCAACATTTTGTTTTTAGGAACAAACCGTCTAACATAATCTTTGTCGCTTATTCAGAACCAAAACTCAGAGCAATCTTGTATGATATTGGTCACCATGACCTTCAAAAGGTCGAACAAGGCCGCTGACCTGGAATGAACGTGCGACCTTTTGCTAAGAAACTGTTATCTAGGTTCTGGGGCACTTTGGAGACCAGCCTGGAATTTGACCTTGCTTGACCTTACCTGACCCGAAGGTCATGACCTAGAAATCTGAAACTTTGACTTAAATAAGTTCACGTACAGGTCAACACACCCTGTAAATTTGGTGTCCCTAGCTCCCTTAGTTTCGGAGATCTCAGAGAGGGGGTCAAATTGACCCCCCAGAGCAAAGGATATCCAGCCGGGCCCCCGAGCCCGTGTTAACTGCGCAAATTGTGGCGACTTTTCAGCGAATTGTGACGCGATATACCGTGCAGTAAGGATGTTGTCTCTCTGTCTGTGACATTGGCATGTTTTCGCCGTTGCGGGCAGACGCCTTGATGCCTCCAGTGCTGCCAAACACAACCATCCAAACTGATTCTTAATAGTTCATCCTTGTTTGGGGCACCAATTTGCTATCTTCATTATGATCGTCACTTTTTCCATCGTTCACCATTCCCTTCCCTCTAATGACCATTTCTGGTTTAATATTGTGATCGGCAGCACGCTTGGCGTATCGGAACTGATGCACGCACGTACGCACCTGAGCGGTGCATTTCTGACAGACCATTGGTCGAAGAGAATTGCCAGAGCAGGATGATCACCTTTCATTGAGATAGACCCTTGTAGATATACGAAACCAAGGCAAATCATCACATAACCTGTCAGTGAAATGTACAGTTTTCTTTGATTTCTAGTCTGAATCATTCAAGCTCTAGGTCATTCAGGGGCAGCGCCAATATGGCTTCGGGTGACCTTTGCCATCTCTGGGACACGATCCTGGTGTAGGCGGACGTGCGATAACACTACCCAGGACTTGCAACAAATGTGAAGTTCATACAACTGGACACGATCGTGTTTTACCTGATCTGACGCTTGGATCTGAAAACAATCCGTGCAAAAGTCATAGAGCTTGACACTAAGGTTTCTTCAGGCGTTTGATTTGGTCATCCATCTTGCAACCCATGGAATCCGGTCAGCCAGGCCATATTTGTATATTGACAGAGGGCAAAACGCACCTCGTGAATACGGGATCATAATGTTCTACGCATCCAAAGCTCATCATATACTGTCATCCCAATCTGGCCTACGCGTTGCAAACACGTGTATAAACAACCACTTAATGGCTAAAACCATATATCTTTAATTTGACGCTATCAACTCAAAGGATAGGTTAATGTAAAACAGCAAAACCATCATATTTGAAAAAAGGCTTGAAGCGCACGTTAATGATGCAAAAGTTGTTAGGCTTCAATAGCTTGACGCAAGTTATGGGGATGTTAAAAAATGTCGATGTTAGATGATACTTAGCTCTGATTCCGAATTGACCTGAGTTCATTTGTCATAGGGTGTTTTTTTTCCCCAGGCTCCATCAAAACCGGAATTGGCACGTGTCAATGTGTTTCTTTCTGATCGGTCTGGGGTGAAATCAGCCCTGAAGCTCCCACATGTAACGCCTGACTGCCGCGCCATTCGACGGGGAACGGCCTGGCCGATGCGTGAAGCGGATCTTGTTCCACATCAGCCTGTCGTGACGTGGCTTGTCCCTTCGGGCCACATGAGCTGCGCATGTGACTGTTGGTGGGACATGACGGCCCGCGGAAGACGCTCGAGTGTTGCGGCACCGAACCGCGGTGGTTTGAGAGCCACCTGGGTGTACGGTGGTGCACATGTTCCTGCTCACCACTGACCAGAATATAAACTCAGCATTGACACATTTTGCGGAATGGAACCGAGCGAATGACCTCTAAGCCGTCGGCGAGAGGAGACCTCGCTGACCTCGGTGTTTGATGTTGCAACGCTCCTAGCAGAAACATGCCGAATGACATGTTTAATGTGAAGGCTTCTGTTGTTGTTACCCTCTGCCAATTTTCTGACAGCGTTTGCAATTATCGATGTCATCAAATCACAGTCAAACGAGTTTCATGAAGCTGTTGACGAACCTTTGCGAGTGCTCAAAGATGCAGTGAACGGGAGACCTCAACGCTAATCGCTAGGTTTGCTGCTAATTTCAACCATGCTGAGCATATACTAACTTAAGATAAGATAGATGTGATGTTTTGGCATCTTATCCATGCGCAAAATTGCAGTACAAATTGGCATGGAACAAATAATTTTCAAAAGTATGTTTAAAAGTGAAACGCTTTGTTACAGACCCGTCTACTGTGAGTTGTGCGTAAGACGGCAGGTATATGTGACAGTAAACGATTTTGTGCAATCGACTTCACTTCACTGCAGACGGACAAAGGTCATATTGCAGTGGCTGTGTATGAGGTAGGTAGGCAAGGGATATTTCGTCTTTACACCCTGTGGGCATGTTGGTGTTGCTTATATTACTGTGAAGCCCCAACTTATACCAATTGCTGTTAGTTCTGGCGTGAATTGAATGCGAGCTCAGTGGCCTCTTGCAAACCTGCAGCTTTCAATATACACATGTTTCCAACTTCCATAAAAATGATGAAGCATTCACTCCTACCGTGCGCCTATCTCGACACTTCACGCTTTTGCATTGCTGCATAGCTATACTCCCAAAAAACCGTTCCCATCCCGCTTGTCTTTTTTAGAGCGAGTGTCCCACCTTTGGACATATTTCAAAACCATACTCTAAGGCAGCCTCAGAACTAGTTACGTCTAATGATAGCACCGGGTAGATCCACTGCGCCACCGTCAAAACATAACGAGGATAGCAATTCGAATTATTTTTGGGGTAAAATTGCACTGTCAACACTTTGTAACAACACTGCGCCCTCTTCGCTGCAGTCAGGACGCCATCGCCATGACAACCGCCCGTGCGCACCTCTACTGGTGCAAAACAACAAGTTGGTGATTAGCCCAGCGGCAAGGCCCATTACCGAGAACTTGGTTGGTTAAAGTTTGAACCAGTGCGTCACATGGGCCATGTGATCCCCTCATTCCCAAGGCCAAAGTGCGCCTCGAAAGGAGCGACTGGGGTGAACCGCCATGGAGAAGAAAGCAAAGCCATAGATTACCGTTTCGCTGAATTTTGGGATATAGCTCATGTTGGCGTATTTTTGTGTCCAAACAAAGCATTTCCAAGCTTTCGTAGCATGAATTACACGAACGTTTTGAGACATTAGTGTGTTGCAGACATTATAGAACCACACGTTGGGCAAATCAAAGCAAATGAAGTGTATAATTCTCATAGTGTCAGCAGGTCAAATGAGATGTCTCCCACAGAGTCGGCTACTTTAAATCGAAAACTATAAACTAGTTAGAAAGATTTTGAGAAAACCGGTTTTTTGATTAAATCACACGCGTCTCTTAGTTATTGAGCTTCAAGAGCGCGTCAATTGCACTGGTTATTTGCATCTCGTTCGCGTCTGATGTAACAATTAGTGTCAGTGCAAAAAGGTGGGAGATACTTCCCTTAAGCGTGCATTGCGGGAATTTACGGGCTCCCACACGGCTGGCCTGGCAGCAGACCGCGGGCTAAATCAGCCGTTCGGGGCTACTTTCACGGAACATCTTCATACGGGCTGGCGTGGATTGGTCGATGCGAGCTTCCAAGCCGAGCGCGCAGCAGTTTGGCGCATGGCATCAGTTTCTCCGGAGCGGAGGTGCATCGGCACGCGCTGTCGGAGCGCTGCGAATGCGCGCTTGGTGACGGGTTGTTTGGTGCCTGGACCCGGTTATAATATGAAGGTGAGCACCGTGGGCTGTTGTCGATGTGTACGGGAGATATGCGTTTATCGGCCAGTCGGCGGAGCATGCTGTCACATGCAGGGCAAAAGGCCGCGGGTATGCTGAGGTTCGTAAAATGATGTCAAAGCGTCGTGTGAATTCTCTGATATATAGGCACCTTTATATCCGGCTTAGCAAGCTGCATGCTCGGTCTCGGTCGTGGCGATGCAGTAACCCTTGTCATGGAGGACAAGGACTGGCCACACGTGAGACAAGAAATTGTCTCATAATCACAATCATGGGAATATGGTGATGCATCAACCATAATGTGGGGTCCAAATCTCGGTGACCTGATGTCGCAGCGCCAGTATCACAACGTCGTTATACGGAGAGGAGAACAAATAGGTCGGGGGTAGCGCTGTGTGCAGCAGGCACACGCGTTCAAGCACAAACCGTGGGTCGCTCCGGTCGGGGGCGCTCGCGAGGGCTGATCTCAGATTCCAGCTGCCAT